ATATTTACATTTTCCCTTTTAAAATTACCAAAATTTAATGTGCATTTTCGCTGTTGATCTCTTAAACGAGCTCAGGTTATAGCGCCTAGGCCTAGATCTATCTCTCGTGTTAGCCTTGACTGATTATCATAGCCCTCATGAAGTTTATGAAGCTGACCAACTGGTTTTCAATCGGTAAGGGCTGCCCCCCCCCCCCTCGAGAATCTATTTTCAGACTGGGAATGAATTCAAAATTAGCGTGTACATTGAAGACCGATCTGTGGCTGGACCAATAGAAATATGTACATGCATATTTATGCAAATTTCTTACACACAGTAACAGAAAGCTGAAGAATAGAAAACCAAAAAAAAAAAAAACAAAAAAGATTTATATAAAAACTTACAATATATCTGCGACCTGGTCGAAGGCATTTTTTAAAACGCGAAGCAGGTTTGTGATCCCCACACGGAATTCTAAGCAGGCTGCTCTCGGTTCTTATCGATGCCGATCATGATCGAGTTGTTAATGAAAAAATGAAGCGAGCATTTTGGTGACGAGTTCTTAGTCCAGCCAACTTCCCCGGGGACACGCCGAGAATCTGCCAGAAATCGAACTTCTCCCCAGGCATACGGAAATGCCAAAATAGAAAATCTGAAAAATTTCGGGTGTGGGCGTACAGAGAAAACAAGTGACTGTGAGGCACGTGAGCAATTTTGCTAATTTCTACAGCAACAATTTGGTTCCATTTCGGTTCCATTTCGGCTTATGGCTTATCAATGTTTTTGCATTGTTTTACAGAATGATAAGTTACCCGACTTGGGCTAACGAATGGGTAATGCTCTGTAGGTTCCTGCCACTAATTTCGTTACTTTGTCGTTTTCGTTTTGCAATTGGGCAACTTCGTTGGTGTGCTAACTAGTTGTAATGGGCCATAAACTTTGTGTTTATGTGCAGGCAGCAACATAAGTCATTCTAAGGCTGGACAACACTCAACCTTCAACGTTCAGACAGTAGTACGTTTTGTTTTCTTTTTGGTAATTATAATATTTACATAATATACATAATATTAAATATTTAAATGAAGAGATTTGAACACGCTTCCTCTTCTCCTCAGCAACGCCTCTTATTAATCACCTAAAAAGTTAACTAAATGAATCTCCAACAGCTTCAATTACCCAAGTAAATATGCTTAAAATATGCTTTAAATAATTATGCTATTAAATGCCACAAAGATCAGCAATAAACACAAACATTTGCCCCCAAAGCTCCCGCCAAATAGTCGCCAACCCATTGAGTTAGTTTGAATGCCGCAAGAATTGTTAATAAATAGCTGTACAGTTTTATTATCTTGCGTTGAGCACTAATGGATTTGGGTTGTACGAGTACTCGGATACTGGCCAACAAGCACCTCAAAGTCGTAAAAGCAATGTTTGATGAATTGGACAAAACGAACGGCCTGAGAATCGCAAAGAGCGGCCAATGGCCAGAGCTACAAAAAAAAAAGAACATAAAAAAAGAACAAAACAAAAGAGAAGAACAAAACTCCAATGGACGCGTGTGCTGGAGTGAAATGTGGATTTGAAAACAGATTTATACGATTATATTTTATGCCGATTCTCGTTGTTGGGGTTTTGTGACAAGTGACAATGAGATTGCCGATAGCTTTGGGTATTCCAAAGTCTATATATCTGCCCTGAGAATCCATTTAGGCCGTGCTCCTTATCCGTACAGCAATCTTTATCGGTGTGCCAGTTGCTGTATCTGTATCTGAGACCGTGTACGCTTTAACGGACATGTAATGAGGCTTTTGTTTGTGTTTATTTTTCTATTTTTTTCATGGCACATTTGATGCGAATGTTGACTTGACATTGCCTTCTTCCTGTGGCATGTTTGCATAAATATTTGGTTAAAGCTGTGTGGAGACCGCACCTGGAGGAGCGTAGCCACGAAATGTTTCCATTTTTCACGCACTTTGCACTTGAAATCTTTTGACTTTGCCTCCGCCTCAGCCAGCCTGTCACTTGACTTGAGTTACTTCGACAACAAAATGTCGAAAGACTCGCCAGGCATGCATTTCAATTAGCTGCAATTAGTTCGGGCATCACATATCACATCACAACAGCGCAGAGTGAGAAATTTTATTTAAGTTAGTTGAGGCAAAAGTTTCGTTAACCACGGGCCAAAAGGTTGGGGCCGAAAGGCTGGGCCATGCTCGGTTAGTCAGTGAGCCAACAAAACTGCTCGAGACCCTGGCACTTAATTGTGTAATTTGTGGTTACTCAAGATTCTGCCAAGAACACGGCATGGCCTTGACTGCAGCACGACACACAATCCCTGTGTCATTCCGAGATGCCACTGCCTGTCTGCCACTTTGCAAGTCATGTGTGTCATTTTAGTCTCAATGCAGAAACCCCTCAATGACAATCATTTAGCCACAATGTTTTTATTTTTCCCACAATTACACAGAAGAGATTTTCGATTACAGGTAACTTATCGTTCTGCATTCTGACACTTGGCTGTCCACATTTGAAAACTGCAGTGCACAGTGGGCCAAGAACATGGGGAATTCCTCTAGCTGAATCAGAAGAAATACCTCTGATTCAGTATGCAAATAAATATCAATAATGTCACACTAGGTGCACTTCGCCGGATGTTACTTTTGCAGTAAAGGAAATGTTTATAAGTTCCGAGAAAATTGCATGTTTTTATTTTTTTTGCACTATTATCTTGCCTTCCCATAAACAAACCTAAATTTACTTTGCTAAATTCTGTCTCAAAGCTAAATCTTTTCAGCATTATCCATAAAATATTTATGGTATTTCTATTGCATAAACATCACGTACACTTGAGGCGTTTCGTCAAAATGCCATTCATGATTTTTGCAGCTAAATCGTACTCGGAAATGAGTAAAATTCATTTTGAAATTATAACAATTAATCGTGTTGAGTTCTCGCGCTGAATGGCACATTTGGGGGTGTGTGTAGCCTGTGATTAAAATGTTCCCATTCAGCAAATGGCTCGACAGATATTGCAATTTTACGACCATTTAGTGGGGCACGTGTTGAAAATAAACTCTCGGGTTATGTTGATTTATATTGAAAGCAATCAAATCATCACATTCACGTAGTATGCGAAGTCTAGTGCTAGTGCAAGTGGACTTGGATTTGGATTTGTCTTCAGGCAAAACGTGATACAAATCGAATTGAAAAATCATCTTTGAATCGTATTTCAGTGCGGAAACTTCTTAAAATCTCTGTTAAAACTCCCAGCCAAAGAGATCCACAGTTCCATTAGCATTACATTCAAATATAATTATATTTTCACTGCTACTTTCCATATGACTGGAAAAACCTGACTTTGGGCCCGCTATCATTAAATATTTATATCCAAAATCCTATTACATCAAAAGGTTGAAAAATATTCTAATAGTATAGGAAATTCCGACCTATCCTAAACATGTTTGACCTTTGCTGACATTGAGGTAATTTTTAGTAATTTTTAACACAACAAATTATAGAATTTTAATAATTAATCAGAATTTCTGGTTCTGGCGTTCAAGGCAACTGAGTCCGTTTGCTTATGGAACCTTTGTGCAGCGATATGGGAATATTTCGAGCTAGTAATTCTTACTTAGCGATGGTAGTTTTTCGATACATTGTAGCCACAACACTTGTCACTTTGTGGTTAGCTGATTCAACCACAAAGCAATGATGCATGATGGCCCGGTTTGACCTTCAGGCCATGTTGCCACAAGTGGCCAAGATATGAAGCCTTCGCTGCGAGGTTTTTGACATCGCAACGCCGAGTTGTCTGTCGGCCAAAAGATGGCAAACAATTTTAGTTGCCGCCACTAAAAACGAAACAAGAAATTAGACACAACTCATTTCAACTTTACGTTGGGTGTGAACATCCAATAACAGCAACAGCAACAGCAACAACAAAAACGCAAAACTGTAAACATATTTTCGGGTTGCTGGGCCACACAGGTCTTGGTCGGTATGCGGTAATTGCTGTTTGTCCACAAACCTCTGAGAACTGAGGGCGACTAAGCCAATTATTGGCCTATTTTTAATCGTGTGTGTCACTTCGCTAGCCAAATATTGGTGCGGACTAAACAGCAATTAAAAGTTTGTAGGAAAAATAAGCCATTTAGAATCTGTTTATGATGGTGATGAGGCATGACGCTTTGAACGTCAGGGTGGATGGAATATGCATGGAGCATGGCAAGGTCAAAGTGTGCAAAAACTGGTTAAACTTTTGCTTTTGGCATCTGACACACATCGGAGTTATATATGGCCCAGATACGGAGCGAATTAAGAACATTATATAATGCGGATAATGCGACTGATAACATGTTTTCATAGAAACAGTAGTATGCAGTGGATAACTTCATTAGTAAGCAGCACGAACAAAAAAAGAAATCACCGCCGAAATGCGCAAGACGTGCTCGCTTGACCGACAGTTTGATCTGCTTGACCCGAGCGACTGTCTGCGTTGAGCAAGTACGAAGAAGCGCACGAAAAGCAGGCCAAAAAGTTGCAGGGCAAGTTCAGTTCGCGAAAGAGAGGGAGAGGGAGAGGTAGAGGGAGAGAGAACGGTCTACGTGAACTTGTGCGCGGCTCCCTGTTGGTATTTCCCCTTTCCTCTTGGTGAAAAGTGTAAGTGATCTGAAAACGGCAACTAGATTATTCTCGGACAGAGCCACGCGCCGCTCATCGCCAAAAAATTACACAAACACACACACACACACACAGCCGCAGCCGCAGCCGCAGAAGCACATGCTGCAGCAAAGGCGACCCCGTCTTAACGAAACGAACCGAACCGAACGTCACAGCAAAAGAATCGCAAGCGACGAGAGACAGAGAGAGACGGCTTTAAATTTCGGTGTTGGTAAACTTTGGAGACACTGTACAACCAGCCGAGTGCTCTCTCATCTCAGCTCAGCTCAGCTCAGCGGCGGCGCGTCTAACAACTCGGCTGTGGCCTGTGTGCGAATTCTTTGAACTAGGCGCTTAAAAAGCACTGCCACTCGATCCGTACCCTCATACGCCGTGCATTCATCGCGCCTCGTGGACGTGCCGTGTGCGTGTGGCCGAAAGCAGACTTAAACTTGACTAATTATAAAGAACCCCCCAAGACACCCTCTCTAACCAAACCGAACGAGCCTGAGTATCCTTAGTGACTGGATACGGAACGAACTCTTGTGTGCCCCCACCCCGTGTGCATTTCGGTGTAGTGCCAAAAACGAACCCAAAAGTGCGTCAATTTTTTCATTCGCTTCATCTTGGATTTCCCCCAGTTGTTGCTACACAATCCTTAAAGGTGAGTGTGAGGTGTGAGAGTACTCCCAACTAATGTAGGAGGTCGTCTCTGCGTTCACTTTGCGGAAGTCAATCGAGTCAGGAAACCAAAATCGAAACTATCGTAAAAGTTTGAGCCGAAATTCAACAGAAAACCCGCTCAAAACCACTTCAAACAAACAGACAATTAATCCGAGGGGGTCTTTGTGATTCATCTATAGTATAGGAATAAGTATTTATGAAAGAACCATTTTGGTTGGGTGCTTACGCAAATCCAAATCCAAATCGAAACTCAAGCAGAAGCACGTACTCCTCATAATACAATAATTATGCTATCCTTAAAAAGTTCGAGTGGAATTTGCTGGATAAATACTTAGAATGGTCCAAGGCGAGTAGGCATTGTGTTTCTATGGGGGAGAATTCCCCGGAGAATCTCTCTTTTTGCCGCACGCGCTAATTGCGAATGCGGCAGAAGTAACCAAGAATGAATATGGATGCCACGCATAATGCGAACTGCTATTGCCATGAGCGTATTGAAGCTCCCAACCGCATATAGAACAGTAACCACCAGGCCAAAGTCACGTTCCCAATCCCAATACCCCCAGTCTAAGTCTGACTCCGAGCACAGATTCTGAGTCCCAATGATTGGGGTTTTTGTTATGCGACAGGCGTCGCGGGTTGCGTGCGCAGAACGAATCGATCAATGGAAGCTTTCTCGGTATCGAATCACTACAGAGCCACCGTAGCGAGTCACAGTAGACGGCATTAGATTTGAGTCAGGTTCCATAACAATTCAATTTTTGTATTATATTTATTACTATTGGTTATCGTCTCCGGCTACGGCTCAGTCTCCCTCGATGTCTGCGTTTTGTCCGCCTATGACGTGGTTCGTGTCGCACAGCCAAAGTTCGTCACAAGATATGTTGGAGTCAGAACAGCAAACCCTGAAAAGATTGCTCAGAGAATCTAGAACCGCAAAAACCAAAACCAAAACCAAAAGCAACACCCAAAACCCCCCAGAACTTGTTGTAGAAACCTTGGCCGTCGGAGACGTCGGAGAACCCGAAACAAAAGCAGTTCTATACATAAATTTATCGTGGTTACTTAACTATGCTAATATTCCGGTAAGGATGATTAGACGTCGTGCCTGATCCGAGCAAAAGTTAAATACAATACGAATAGGTTCTTCTGCCTCTCGTGGGGCCCGTGGCGAAACAAGTTTGCTTATGGCAGCGCGTGGCTGCTGCATGAAATTATCCATGGCTCGACTTGAACTAAGGCCACTACGTATTCCTCAATGGATGACGATGCTGAATTCAGTACCTCCTTCCCGTCGATCGAACTGTAATCAGCAGTTTATTCTAATTCTAATAAGCTGGAAAAATTATTCAATGGTATAGCTGGATGCACAGCCACAGCCTATTCACGAATCTTGAATTGAACGGCGGCCCCAGCCAGTGCCGTCAGCGAATAAATTCAAGGCACGCTACTTGACATTGAACCATGGCAACAAGTTATTGGCTCGAAATCTATGCGCAAAGCTTGACGAACAGCCACAACCACAGCCAATAAGAATACTTTTGTTTGGTTCAATAAAAACATGCACAGGCAGAGAGGTCAACCGGTTGTCTATTCTAGAGATTCTAGAGATTCTAGAGATTCTAGAGGAGGTGAAGATCAGCCATTTAGGCAGCTGGCAACTGAAACTGGCTTCTCGCAAAGTCGGTTATTTATGTTGCACTCGCAAAAAGATACAAAATTGCATGGCATGGAGACAAATGACAAATGCAGAGGCAGCAACTTAAGTGGCTGCTGGTGTGTTGCCTTTCAAAGTGCGCAAAGGGCGCATGAGGCCCGAGGTGCAAGTATCACAGGTATTAACGAAACCTCAAGGGTATAGCTGTATAGCTTGAACCCTGTGGCATGAGTCCATTCCTGAATTAATTCACCGTCTCATTAACTTCAAAGAAATTCAAATGTGTGTTTATCAGACTACACCAATGGCTTATGTTTTGAGCACGCTTTCCGTAAATGTTTAATCCATTTTTGCACTTTGATTTCGATTCGTACTTCCATTATTTTCCACTTGTCTTTCCTTTGTTCTTGCGAGGCGCTTTCTAGATCTTTTCGAAACAGACCAAACGGACTCATAGAGGAAGACGATCGTAGAAGAATGGTTATGCAAATACAAGTTCAAGCGAATTATTGATGGTTTTTTTGGGGGGGATTTTGTTTTTGACTTTTCGTATTTTTCGGCATTCTCTTTGCGCTTCCGGCTTGTTATCTTTGTATCAGCTTCAAGTATCATTGAAGCTGGCTGGCTAACGGCGAAGGTCGCGCTGATGAGGCAGCCGTCACCTCAATATGGTCCATAATTAGTCGTGTGCTATGCGATGCGGTGTGGTGCAGCTGGGGATGCCTTTTACGTATCTGTGGAAAGCCAAAGGAACCTGCCTCGCATACCAAATGAGTTTGGTGCTGAGTTGTAGCAACACCCATACGTTCGACACAATGATTTGCATCTCTAAGGTGCCCAGATTGAGACGACAAAGGCGGCAGCCGGCGGTGACAGGCCATAAATCAGGAAGCAACCTCTGGGAATGTCAATACTAATGGGTGCGTGCTTTCCGATTGCTTTGCAGATGACGCCCAACATAATAGGCAGCACCTTCATACTGGCCGAAACGGCCATTGCTGATGGCAACAACAACAAGAGGGCCGCCGCGCCCGCTGCCTCAGCCACGAAGACGACAACCCCAAAGGCGCCCGTCAAACAGGCGCTGGCCAAGAAGGCGGCGGCCGAGGCTGGTGCCACCAAGCCCTTCCAAATGGAGATTGTCTGGCGCAACGTGGGACTCTTCGTTGTCCTGCACTCGATGGCGCTTTATGGTCTCTATCTGGTCTTTGCCGAGAACGCCTACCTGGAGCTCCTGCCCGGTGAGTACAGCCAGAATTGTGGTAGAAATTGTGTGACTTTTACTGATTTCTGGCGATGTCTTCTTTGCAGTGTACGCGACTATGTTCCTGGGCGGTCTGGGCATCACGGCCGGTGTGCATCGTCTGTGGTCCCACAAGGCCTACAAGGCTAAGCTGCCGCTGCGCATCTTCTTGATGCTGTGCCAGTCGCTGGCCTTCCAGAACAGCATCTGGGAGTGGACCCGTGACCATCGTGTGCACCACAAGTTCACGGACACACACGCCGATCCCCACAACTCGCGACGTGGCTTCTTCTTCGCCCACATGGGCTGGCTGATGTGCAAGAAGCATCCCGATGTGACCAGCAAGGGCAAGCAGATCTCGATGGGCGATATTGAACAGGATCCCGTGGTGATGTTCCAGAAGAAGTAAGTTCAGGAACTTTACACCGATCCTTCATAAATCCTTGCTAAGCTTACGATCCTTTTTACCATTGCAGATTCTACTTTGTGGTTATGCCCATCTGCTGCTTCGTTGTGCCCATGCTCTTCCCCTACTATTTTATGGGCAGCTCTCTGCGCGTTTGCTTCTTCACGTGTTCGATGCTCCGATTCTGTCTGTCGCTGCACTTCACCTGGCTGGTGAACAGCGCCGCCCACTTCTACGGCATGAAGGCCTACGACGTGAATTTTAGTGCGCGAAACAACAAGCTGGTGTCGACTCTGACCATCGGCGAGGGTTGGCACAACTATCACCACGTCTTCCCCTGGGACTACAAAGCAGCCGAGCTGGGCACCTACAGCTTCAACTGGACCACTGCCTTCATTGATGTGATGGCCAGAATCGGTACGTACTCGCCAATCTCCCCCTCAAATCAGGGGTCGGCACGCAGGTAGTCAAATTTCGCAATGCACGAACAGAAACGAAGTTACAAATAGTTTCTTGCTTCTCTGTCGCTGCAGCAGCCGATCAATTGTGAATAGGCTACATACGAAGTGGCTTCTCTGCCGCTGCGGCTGTTCGCTTTTACGCTGCGCGTGTGCTGACTGCGCTGCCCGTGACCTTTTCGCATGCACATTGCACAGGAACAGTAAACAGAAACAGTTATTTTAATGTTGTCCCTCTCTTCTCACTGCTTTCAACAGGTCAAGCATATGATCTGAAGTTCGTCTCGCAGGAGATGGTGTACAAGCGTGCGCTGCGCACTGGCGATGGCTCTCATATTGCCGCTCTGTTGGATGCCAACAACAACAATGCCATACCCACCAGCGAGCTGGTGGCCCATTTGGATCACGAGAAGGAGGAGCACGCCATCTGGGGCTGGGACGACAACGACATTAGCGAGGAGGATCGCAAGGGCGCCACCGTTGTGAACAAGGAGTCCGACCTCAAGCGAGACTAGGCGAGGGCGCAGCGGTCGACCCATCGAGTGGGTTACCCAATTACCAAGCAGTTACCAGTCCTAACTAAGCGAGCGAACGAACGAAATTTCTTATTTCACAATCGGGTAATAGTAGCAATTAATGAATGCTCTGCCCATGCTGCCTACTCATAAGTGGTGTGTGTGTCAGTCTGTTAATACGAGTGTGTATGGGGAAAGTCCGAGCAGGGGAGCGACGGGAGACCCGATGGCCAAGCAGCGTCTTACAAATCAATGGCTTCAATTCCAAATACAAAAACAAACTACAAGAAGAAAACTATTCGAGATTAGTCAAAACAAAACAACACAAAAAGTGCACACACGAAATTGGTAACACAAAATCTGTTGCACATTTATTAATTCTTTACACAACCTTATCTCGCACTTGTCGTTCAAGGACGAACGCATCTGCCAACCCCCCCTTTCTCTCTATCACTATATCTACATATTTTTAATTGTATATTTACGCAAGAGGTTCTAGCATTAAGTGTACCCCCTAAGATCTACTCTAAGCATCGACTTTTATGCGTTTGTACATTGTGTTAGTCATATAGGTCCAAACTGTACATTCCAGTCCAACGAATTCAGTTGCGAAACTCTCTTCCAACAACAATATATAAAAACTTACAAAAACCCACCCAATTGTGTTGTATTTCTTTTGTATAAATTATAAATTTCGCAGGTAAATCATTTTAAAAAATTAACAAATAGAACTGAAATGTACAGCACTCAGAAGCAACAATATATTTTGAAAATCTTTCAATCAACAAGTGTTTCCGATGGAACCTTCAACTGGTATTCGTATTCCATAATTTGCATTGTGTATTCAGAAAGTTAATGTTCGAAAGTTACCAAAACTCGCAGAAGTAACAGATGCAGAAGGATAACTTTGAAGAAATCGATTAAATGACCCAAGCTTAGGCCACTTTTAGATGCTTTAGGAAAGAACAAAACATTATTAAAATATGTAGCACTCAGCAACATATTTATCTCTGCTAAGTCCATCAATCATCAAGTGTTTTTGGGGGAGACAGTAACTGGTATTCGTTTTCAATAATTTGTATTGTGCATATAGGAAGTATTTCTCTCGCCAACAACTCAACCTTCTAATTGTTCCAAAAATACCATCAAAAAGAGTCAAATAGAGGTCATGTATTCCTTTCCCTTTCTCGTAGAAAGCCACCCACATAATTTAAGTTTCTAAGTTTTTCTTTAATCATTTTCTAATCTATAAAAATCTATAAAGATCTATAAAAATGAAACCATAACACAAGAGACAGTCTTTATTGCAGGAAAGTGAGAAGAACAGTGAAAAGAGATGGAGTGAATAAGTGAAAAAGTGCATGAAGTTTCTTCCACATCTGTTCATAGCTAACTGTAGCTAATGTGCTGCTGCTGTTCCTCATGTGTGTTGAACTGTGTGCGTGCGGCGTAGAGCAGGGCGGCCATGAAGGCGCCATTGTTCATCAGCAGCGACATAATGGTGGCCATCTTTAGGGCGGGCAGTATAAAGGGCAGCAGGCTGCCCAGCAGTACAACGGGCAGGATCAGCATGGGCACGGCCACCTGCATGATGGTCAGCTTGTTGGAGCTGTGCTTCTTCTTGCGACGCCTCAAGAGTCCACCGACGCCGATGCCGCCGCCACCATCCTCCGAAGCACCACCACCACCACCACCGAGAAGACCCTGCTTGGAGTCACCCTCCGCCTCGGGTTCATAGTTCTCCACGCTGCCGCTGTTGCCGCCCACACCGCCCATCGCAGGGATGTTCATCAGATTTAGCTCCAGGTCCTCCGTTTCGCGGCGTCTGGCACGGCCCACGCGAGACTTGCCAGCTGCAAGGGGTGAAGCATCAATCATCAATCGGTGCTGGGCAGGACAGGGCTCACTACTTACCCTTCTTGAGGGAGAACCTCAGCTTGTTGTCCTTGCTGGGCACAATCTTCAACAGCATTCCTGACAGAAAGTGCAGCTTGAGATCGCGATGCTTGAAGAATCTTTGAAAGTTCACGACCAGCCGCTGATTCAGCTCCTTCTCGGACATTTGCTGATACTTCTGTGAGATGAGGCTGCCCATTTGGGTCTCCTCGCCGAAGAACTGATCGAGAAAGTCTCTGGTCAGGTTGCCCGAGCTGGCCATGTGGCGGCGTTCCTCCATTTTTTGCAGCACATACAACTTGGTGCAGTGCAGCATGCTGGACTCGCGCAGGCACTCGTAGATACGCATTGGAATCGACGCCCTAAAGTATGACACACTATTCGCCGAGTGCCCACGGGGCTGCTGCTCCGATGGGTTCGTGTCTTCGCTAGCCGCTGCCTGAAGCTGCGCTGAGGCCCGATTGAGGCTCAGGCAGAGGCAAAGTCCGAGCAGGACACTCAAGGCTCTGTTGCTCGTGGAGTTGGCATGCATTTTCCTGCAGTTTATTTTTCACGGCTTAACAACACAACTGCACCTGAGCAGTGACAGTGCAGAACTGAATTCAATGCCAAGATCGTACCAGCAGCAATCCTTAGCCAGTGGATTTCTTGGCCGCTTTCCTCTGGCCAACTGGTTTCGACCAACTCGCCAACGCTCGCACAGACATTCGAGATTTAGTTTAGCGGGTCAAGTTGCAGTTTTGCTTTTGCTTTTGCTTTTGCCGCATGTCGCTCGCCGCCTTGCCCCATTTGCCTGACTTATGGCCAGCCAATCCGTTTGTTTACCGCCGTAGTCAAAACATTTATCCATTTACACCTGGCTACAGCATCCATTTCATTGGATCGCTAATCCCATTTGTTCTGGGAGCAATTCGGCGGTGCATCAAGCCGGGTTAACTGTGTCACCAGCAAGTAAGAGTAAACCGCTTCTCTTTCTAAACATTAGAAATTTGTGTACACTATCTAAGAGAGGAATATTTGCGGGAGTGGATATGAAGGGAACCCCTTTTAGAACACAATTTCCATTAACACAATTTTAATTTTACACTTAAACTTCAGTTTTCAATACAGCAAAAAATGTTTAAGAACCATTTTTAATTGGTTTTAAAAACTTAAATTTTTCCCCTTAAACTTATTTTTCTTATTGCAGCTGACAATCCCAATTGGAATTTACTTCTGAGGTGCCGTTGTCCGCTGTGGTGAGGAGCTAGCACTAATTCACCACGCTCTCTCGATGCACAGAGAGACAAGCGCTAGAAAGAGAGACAGCAGCTTTCGTTTGTTGTTGTTTGCATGTGCACTGAGGGATGAACCCCGAAAGCGCCTTGTCTGCTTTGTCTCTCTGCTTTGACACTTATTCCAGCTCTCTCGATAATTACTAAGAGTATCCAATAGTCTGTGCAGGATCACCGTCCCGCTATTCTTCGCTGACAGCGCACAAAGTTGTTCAATTGGCGCACAAAGTGGAACAATTGAAGCCGGATTCGAGATGATTGAGTGGCTAGAAAAGTGATGTGTCTGTCTCTTTTCAATTAAGTGACTGTCGCACTGATTAAGTGAGAGTCTAATTAATTAGTCTTTAACCATAATGAGACAAAAGTGATATTCATCACATCAGCAAGGAGAGAAATTCAATCCAATCCCAGCTAGATGACCCATTTCCACAGCGCTGGAGGAACTCTTTACTTTGCCTTGCTTTCTATGCCTGAGTGTGGGTGCGCACGTCCAAGTCGGGGGAACTGGCACTGCGGAAGGGCAGTTAAAAGAACCGTAAATCAGCGACGCCCTCAGCTGCATAGGCAATGAGGCGCAGGTTTCACTTTCTATGGGCACAGTGACAGAAATCAATGCTTTCCATTCTTTACTTTGTAATAAATAAATAAATAATTTAAACTAAACTTAAATTATTATTTGGTTGCATGCTCGCTGAGGTTGTGGTATTATAACATGGCCTGCTATCAGCTAGCTCTCTCGCCCCGAACTCTGATCCACTTCTACCACTCCTTCTCCAGCCACACGGGCTGCTGGGTGTGCGAATGCGAGTAGACGACGGGCACGGGAGCTGCCACGGGTGCGGCGGCATAAGCAGCTGCCTGCACTGGCAGCGCACGCGACAGCATTTGTCCGATGGCCAGCACCAGCAGAATGACGCCCACGCCCAGTCCCTTCATGGAGACGACAGTCAAAGCTGCCAGCAGCGTGGTGATGACGCCCACCACGAAGGCTCCAGGCACCAGAGCGAAGCTTATGCGGCGCAGAAAATGATGCCCAAAGGTGCGACTCTCTGCAAAAGAACAAAGAGCTGATTAGCTGCTGAAGATTCTTTGTGTTCCTTTTCTTCCGTACTAACCAGCTACATCCGTGGCGTTGTCCGAGCTATTGGCGGGCTGCTGCTGGCCCAAGACCACATTGAAGCCCAGACACAGGCAGACGAGGGCGAAGACAATTTTCTGATTGGCGGCCATTTCGAGTTGGTTCGTTTTTAGTCCTTTTGGTAATCCGTTGGGCACTGCTCTGCTCTGCTCAGCTCAGCTCTGGCACCGATCGACAATTGAATGCTTGGCCCACACAGACATTGGCTTTTATCGAAGTGATACGTGGGCCAGCCCTCTCTGGGGCGGCTACTTGACATGCGACAGTCGGACAGACAACGGCACGAACGTGCGCCAAAACAAGCAAATCGTGCCACAGTCTGTGGCTGGCTGACTGATGCCGAATCTGATGGGGCACTGCCGACATGTCGTTGGCCCTTTTTTGGGAGCGCAACGCAAACGCAAACGCATTTGGTGGCACATAGGAACACTCGCAGCTGGACTTGGACTTGGACTTGGGACATGGGACATGGGACTTGGGCATTCTTTCACGACGCGTGTCTATATTGAGGGCAGGCCAGCCCAGCCGATCGAAACGCTTTCATTTTTCGTCGATAATGATTTATCAGCTAATTAATAAACAGGCAATGCATTTTAATTTTTAATCTACGCCTGTGCCTAAAGAAAGAGACAACGGAAAATGCTTTACTCCACGGCATAGTAACGGTCGTCCATTGATGAGTGTCCGGCAACTCAACCTGACGATTCACTTTCATTCACGGCCTAGCCAAAAATGATAATAGTACGAGTTCATTTCTGGCTTTCAGGTTTACGCTGCACAGCAGAAGGTTCTTTATCTGATAGGCAATAAATAATGGCAGTGCAGAGATAAAGGAAATAAGTTTTCACTTTAGAAGAGAGTGAAAAATTAGCCAGGAATGCAGTGGAAGTGATTACAATTCTGCTTAGAACTTGTTGCATCTTTGGGTCATATTATATCATAGATAGAACTATCGTGGAACTTCCTTTAACGCCGATGAATCATTCTCTGTGTTTAAGTTTGTAGCTCCCAGTAGTTCCCCGATGGATCCAATATTTATTGTTGATTATCTGCACTTTTTACGGATAAGATTGGGCTGAAAACGTTGTGTTTATAGGAACATAAATAAATTTGTAACTTTGTTTCTTTTATTGTATTTGCTAATTGGCTGCTAATTGTGCGAAAGTAAATGAAGCTGCCTAATATGTGTTGCGGATTTTTCAAGGCGACCAGCGATAGAATTTACTTTCTACTCTGGATTTTCAGTCGCCAGAAGATCAGCTCTCTGTGCGCCAGTTTTGTCAACAACTTTCTCATGCAATTGCCGTCAGAGTTAATTGAAGGCGTCTCTGTCTCTGTCTCTGGCAG